GATTTTTATATATATATATATATATATATACACACAGCAAGGTTTATATCTATCTATCTACACACACAGCAAGGTTTGAGAGATGAACTGAGAATCTCATTTGGTCTAAACTACTTAAGACATGAAAACTGGTGGCAACTATCCCATGATCCTTGAGGGCAGTTCCATCCTGGAAAGAAGTAAACTTCTCTCTTTCTTTTTCTTGTAATGTATAAATTTGATTGAGTTAGCTAGAGCCTACATTTAATTATCGATTGATGAAAAATGTATTTAATTGGTCTTCCTTTCTCTAGATGGTCAGAGGTTTATTTAAATGGTTGATGGCATCTACATTTCTTAGAAATATGCTTTGACAGACAGTCTCCATTATATGACCTGACAAATGAAATTAGTTTCAGTTAGGGGCCATCACCAGTGGCAGTTTCTCCAGAATAGAGATGAGAATAATGAGCTAACTAATAGAAACTAGGGTGAGAGGAAATGATACTGACAAATAAGTGAGTTCTTGTGAAAACAAGGATTTTTTTTTTCTCTCCCATTCTTGCCCTTCCCAAAGAGCTGTTTGCGACTATTTTGTTCTAATGAGAAGTTTACAGTATTTAAGGAATCTGGCATTTTCCAAGGAAGAATAGGTCTTGAAGGAGCATTACTCTGCAACTAACAAGTAAGCTGATAAAACTCATCAATTACAGGTGATGACAAATCCAAAGAAATTTATATCAGAACATTCACAGATAAAACTAATTACACTGAATCTTCCCAATAGAAAAAAGATCTACTACATATACATAGAAAGCACAGGCTTCTTTTCAAACAATAAGAAGTTGTGTGATCATAAAAAGATTGTAAAAGAATTATTGACAATTCATTAACAATAAAAATCCTCCCTGTTAATTAAAAGTAGTACTATTTTTCAGTGTAACCGTACTAATGATTGCCCTTTATTCAATGCTGTCTGTGAGTCAGGCACTCTGTTAAAAGCTTTGGTTCACAATCTTACAACATGTCACTCACTGTAAAATAACACCATGAAGTAGGCATAATCATTCCCATTTCACATATGAGATAACGGGCTTAGAAGGTGGCACAATCAGTAATTGGCTAAGTTATAGTCATACCTTTTTTTTTTGAAGAAAATGTTCAAACTTTTATTAAGAATATATTTCTACTTCATTTTTTTTTTTATTAGGATTTGGGTGAAGATTTACAGAGTAAATTCACTTTTCATACAGCAGTTCACATATACTTTGTCTCATGTCATTGACCAAAAT